ATATTCGTGTGGATTTTCATTTCTATAAGTGTGAGAACTATATGTATTAAAATAATAACGCCTTCCTGCGTGTAGCAAAATTCGTTTGTAAATAAAATTGTTTTAATGAAACCCAGTACTTGTGCCAATAATCATGTGTAAAAATTAATTCTGCGTGCATAATCTTACGATAATGAATTTAGAACTTTGGTGAAGTGATAAATATATATACATTCTGTTTTATTTTATAATGAGTTGTACTGAGTTCTTAGAGATATTTAATTTTTAACTCATTTTATGTACATAGTATATTAGTAGATGTATCTTCTTCACACATTTCTAAAACTACTTCTTCATTTTCATTTATACGAGCGTACCGTTCACATTCGGCACTAATAATAAGCATATTACAATACTCTACAGGAGTATAATCCATTTTAATCTTTTAGAGGAATATTAATTCCTAAATTAACAAGAAATATTATTTTTTTATTAAAATAATTAATTAATAAGAAAGAAATATAGGATCCTCTTAACTGAAATTAAAAATTAAAAAAATGAAAAATATTTATACATATGAACGATTTATACGATACCTCTCGTTCACTTATTTCATCTGTTTTTCCTTGATTTCTTTGTTAACAATAAATAATTGACATTCTCCTCTTTAACCAATAAATTATAATATTTTTCTAAAAGTTTAAAATGGAATATACTCATGTTGAGTATTATGATATGCTTATAATTTATGGTGAATGTAGTCAAAATGCAACTCTTGCCGCACAAAAGTACTCACTACGGTTTCCAGAGCGTAGAGCTCCGACTCAAAATGTAATTTTGCGATTGATAAATCGGACACGAGAAACAGGATCTGTAATACCCCAACGCAAAAATATTGGCGCCGGACGTGAACGATACGCCCGTACAAATGAAAATGAAGAAGCAGTTTTAGAAATGTGCGAAGAAGATTCATCTACAAGTATACGCAAAATTAGCCGAAGATTAAATATCTCGAAGAGTTCAGTACAACTCAGTTTAAAAGAAAACAGGATGCATGCTTATCATTTCATCCAAGTACAAGATTTATTACTGCAAGATTATGCATGCAGAATTAATTTTTGCACATGGTTATTGGCACAAGAACCGGATTTTATCGAAACAATTTTATTTACGGACGAATCCTGCTTTACGCGCGAGGGTTCTTTTAATACGCACAATT